ATATCTGTTACTTTGGTATTTAAGAAGAAAACTTCCTTATTTTTTATTCCAACTATAATTGAGTTTAATTCAAAACTAAGTTAAATGATATAAAAAAGTGATGCTTAGCGTAGTATGTTTATTTTCCATTATTGAATGTATGTACGGTAAACTGGATGTCCAGCAATAAAAGCCAAAAATTTATCACGGCCAACTTGATCACTGTTTCCTCCAGTACTTGCAACTAAGTCTGACCATGCTGATGCTGGATCAACATTTTTAATACCATAATATTGATTTAGACGATCAAATATCAGTTTACCAAAAGCTTGTTCAATGCGATTATCACTCTTAGTCGGATTATATTGATCAATCAAATATGTGATTCGATCCAATGTCGTTGAACCACTATTTAATATAACAACAACACCAACAAATTCTTCAAAGGACAACTTGCCTGATTTATTGTAATCAAATGCGTAAAATGCTCGATCACTTTCTTCTTTTGTCTGTTGACCTGGTAGCATCTCATCATATTTTTGAAAAAATAATTTATCATCCATGTCTAAACCACCCCATGCTTTATCATTTTGATATTGATAATAAAGATCTAAATATTGTTGTTTCGATAAAGTCGTGATTTTTTCCAAACGATCTAAATCCCATTCGATGAATCTTGGACGACTAACACGATTGCCCATAGCTCTAAATATGAAGTCACACTATTGCTTACTCTTTAGTTAAGCTTATTTTATACTCACGCTTGACTGATATATATCAAAGGTAAACAACTGATAGTGATGATTTAAAAGCAGTATTCGTTTTACCGTAACTCTGTTTCTTTTTATAATGGTTGATATTTCGTTAATGTAAGTCATTTTTGTTTTTTTCTTTTTTCTACTCAATTAGATTTTCGCTTGGCTATCATACCGTACAGTAATCAGAATACGTTATTGGTTTAACTATAGACTACCAATGAGCGCCACGTGTTTACGTGTACATTATTGATATAACCTTGTATTAATGATCAATTCTTTGATTTTTTTCTCATATAATGAGAAGAGTCATAGTTAACAGTCACATAAATAGCGTATTCTGATTACTGCATAACAGTATAGCTAAACGATAATGTAATTGAGTCAAAGAAAGAAAGAGAAATAAAAATGGCCTACAATAACGAAATATCTACCATTGTGAAAACAAAAAGAGTCAAAGTAAAACAAATACTGCTTGTACATCATTATCATCAGTTGTTCACTTTGAATAAATATCAATCCTATGCGACTTATGGATGAATAGTAAATGCTCATATTCTCTTCCTTATCGATTTTTATTTTCTTAGAAATAACTATTGACACTAAAAAGAATGGAATACAAATACAAATACAAATACAAATACAAATAAAATAACTAATTAAATAAAAATAGGTTAGATTAAATTGAACTTCCATCAATACACAAATAATTAATTATAAGAAAATAAATATCTACCGTTCATAAATAAACCCATATGTTCTTTCTAAAAGCCTGTAGTGAATTTAAAAGCTTCTACGGATAGAGAATGTATACCATCGTATCAAACTTGGAGAAATTACATTAAAGATCAATAAAAATACATCAGCACATTAAATTTCTAAAGCATTATAAGGAAGAATACGCAATCCCAAATGGAATGTATTAAAGTAATAAAATACAGATCAACAAAAATAATGGATTAATAAATAATACTGTGATAGAAATAAAAAACAATACACTTGAATGGCGATTCAAACAAGAACGATACATGACGGCTGAGATGAAAACTCAAGAAAATATTTTACATGAATACATGAAAGAAAAACTTACAAATGAACAAAATGAAAAAAGATTTAGTCTAGATAAATAAACATGATTGAAACAAGAAAGAAAAAATTGAAAAACAAAACATCAGAATAAATTAAATAAGTTAATAGATAAAAACTAGAATACTATCGGAAGAAAATTACCTATGCCAACAAAAATCGACTGGCAAGTGTCAAAAACAAGTGAAACATTGCATTAACACAAGAACAATTACAAGTACTATCAAAAGGATTGAGATTTACACCAACGTCTAAGGTTTTGAATGTAGTTGACATAATAATAAATGCAGAGAAGATACATTAAATACAACGCCAACGATTACAAAATAATTAGCCATCTCTGAGATAACCACGCTCATTCAACACTGTGAAAAGCCTAAAAAGGACGCTTTGAACACCAAAGAAAGAAAAGCATTATATGAATTGAACAATAACAAAAAAATAATTATAGTTTCAGCGAACAAAGTTAAAAAAAATTTCATATGATGGTCGAAGTTTTTACTATAGTAACCACTGTTATCAACAGTTAATTCATTGCTGTTCTACTTCTTCAACATCACACACATTATCTGATTCTATTCAACAAACAGCACAATCATTAAAAAAAATCTTCGAAAAAGGCAATAATGAGTTAGTGGTGAATGACGGCAGTTACTATATTCGGAAGCTTGGTTAGGGTGCAATGAGGGTGAGTGAAACAATTATAATCTTAATATTTTACCTGTGTAACCAAGATCATCAGCTAAGTTGTAAAAATAATTCCAAGCTACTTACGACGATCGTTTTGAATAGAACTTAATCCATTCATAATTAGATCAATATGAACTTGTATGTATTCTGCATGTCGATCCTTGTCTAAAATCTGATGTCTAATGACAATTAGGTGTTTTACAGTTGAGCATGACGTCCTGATGGTCGGAAGTGGTCTCTGTTCACTGTAGCGTGGATGTTTTCAGAGAAGGTTTATGCAGATATTGTTTTTATTGGACATAGTGATTCATGGAGTACGTTTTGATGCAAATGAAGATAAACCTGTTCATTTAATCGTTTGAAAGTGGGTATGGCATTATTCAATCTAAAAAATCGACGAAACTGTTTGGAAATGAAATCCGATGAACGATTGTTTCGTAACAATAAGAGATCAATAGGAATACACTTCATATCAAAATTATGCGCAATAGAACATAGACGAACAATCCATACTAACACATTAGATGAAATATCACAATGAATATGGTACAATATAGAGCTCAGCAGAAAGTTTATGAAAGATAGATGTGAATAAATGAACATTCTAATTTTTAACCAAGACATCTAGAAAATCAACACTTGAGTGAATCTCATAATTCATTTCTACTTTCATATCTCTCGTTTCAGCATTTTCAAGTTAAACCTTGATTTCATCAATGAATAAATTTGTAGTTATCCAAATATCATCAATATATACCTAGAAGTGAAAAAAATAATCACTGAAACAGTTGCTTTTTTTGTATAAATCTATCGTAAATAAACTAATCTATCTTTTGATGAAGAAGACAAATTCAATCTGCTAGTCTCAAATCTTGCTATTCAGCAATCGATTCCGTCGAATTTCAATAAATAATAAAATATGAAATTAATACGCCTTATATAAGTAAAAGTGAAAGAAATGCAGGACTATTTTGTCGACGCGTTTATTTTTATGTATTAAGATATTAAAATACTCACCAGGACTCTGTTTTACATATTATAAGCACGCATAACAAAAAATTTCAATGACAGCAAACAACTAAAATTGCTGGTTAAAATGGAGAAAAGAAAATACAAAAAACAGAAAATAGCTCAGATGGTACCATGTTTTTATAATTGCAATTTAATTCAGTTTTCAGTATAACAAAAAGAACGCAAAACTAATTATAATATACAATAAAATAATATTTTACGAACGAGGAAAGTTCCCCAAGTAATCAATCGCTTTTTTTGTGGAAACATACATGACTGTATGCAGTTCACTGCGCTGATTCCGAATATCAGGATCTTAGCGGCCCGTAGGACTTTCTGGATTCTGTGTCGTTACTCAGAAGTGATTCATATATTGACTAGAGACAGTCATCTAATATTTCTTTTCTTTTGTTCATCACATATTCACAAATCCATCATAACTGTGCTATATGTAGCAAAGTATATAACAATACGAAAAACAGAAAAAAAAAGTATGCTAATTTCTCAAAAGATAAAACATTGGCACTGTGGGGACATATTTCCAATACTAGCGACTAATTGAGCGAGATTATGTAATGCAATTCGTAAGCTAAAATTTTTTAATATTTTCATTTTGTGAAAAATATTAACTTCATGAGAACACTTGCACATTTAATCTTTTTCTTCGTACGATCCATTTTAGCATTGAAACTTAAGATTGAGTTGTCTATAAAAAGAAAAGTATTCGGGTGGATATTTTGTCTAGTGATACATAGTAGACAGATTAAAAGATTGAATTTCATGAGAGATTTCCTTATTAGAAGAGGGTTCAGAGTAATGACACAGAATCCAGAAAGACCTAAAGGCCGCTAAGATCCTGATATTTGGAATCAGCGCAGTGAACTGCATACGGTCATGTATGTTTCCACGAAAAAGCGATTGATCAATTGGGGGGACTTTCCTCGTGAGCTATATTATCAAGGTGAAATAACGAAAAACTTGGTCGTATTATTCAACGCAACAAAGGCTTCAATATATATATGTTTCGAATAAATCAATAAATATAGAGTTTGAATAACAGCATAACTCTAATAGATTGATGACTGTGGTTAGAACTTGAATTAGATATTAGATAATTTAGCCATGTCATACGAACAAATATAAACAGATATAATGCAAACAGAAATATTTCAACACATTGATAAACATAGTTAAAATCTAAAATAAATATTTAGATGTTGATACATAGAAATAATCTGCTAGAGTAGAGATTAAAATGGACAAAACAATGGCTTCTGTTTATCATGCATTAGTAATAGTTTACATAGTCAATACCGGAGCAGAGTATTAGGACAGCATTCGTCACATAATTTACTCCCGAGTTCTTTTCAAAGTTTTTTTTGATTAAAACACAAACTATATTTGGCAAAATCATGTCATAATCAGTAACTACTCTTCATTGCTGTATTGTTATCTAATCGAATACTTCTGGTAGGAAGTTCAACAATCTTTGTATCGTGATAATTTTCCACCAATCCATGAACCTAAAAAGATCAGATTATACAAAACAAGAGATTAGAATCTTACTTTTAATGTTATGTTTTTTGTTTATAAATTTTACATAAAAAAAGCATTTGGTTCTGAAACTGATGAAGAAAGTTTTTTCAATTTGGAACATGATACGATATGTCAAAGAGAAATCATTCTCAAGATTAGGTGTTCTAGACCTACTTCAAATGCTAACGCTAAATTTTGAAAATATTTCGCTAAAGATCTTTCACTTTTCAGTGTTTCTCCTGAATTTACAAATCGCTAAGATTCTTATGACTATTTCTAAGCTTCCCGAAATACTTTCTGATAATAACAATTGTCCAAATTTAGCACATGGATTTTTTTTATCAGAACATATCCAGAAATTACTGACATTGAAATGTAAAAATTCAACATCCGTTCTTTTTTTCATTGGTCAAGTTTCTCAAGAAGAAGCTCTTAAAAGAAGTAATATGTAGTTATCAAAACAAAAAGTATTCTTGATACTGAAAGACATTGACTGAGAATGTCAAATGAATATATAGAGTCATACGTATTAAACGAAATCTTAATTCAAGTTCGAGCTGAATTATACAGATACAAAATTCTATTGTGTAATTTTTTATGATTTTCGATCTCATACAACATTGTGAAATATCACATACGGTAGAAAACTGAAAAAGAAGAGCATTATGTACAACTATTTACAATCTCTCTCCTCATTCATCAAACTCGTCAAAACACACTTAAAATTGACTTGATATGTTTTGTTTCTATCTCTACTGTTTCCTTCAGTACAGAAAGAGAAGGTTATTCTACTCATGAATAGAAAATAAAAGTCAGAAATACGAGTGCATATCAAATGATAGTTATTTTGAAGGATTTATCAATTGACATTATTACATCTATAGAAATTTTCCTTTATGTGTATGGCTATTCAAGCAAAATAAAAGTGTTGTTTATTTGGGTTAAAGACTCGATTGTTTCTCGAACAAATGGTATATTTAACAACGTTGACCAAAAATTTGAGCATTCCTCCAAAAAAAAAATCATGTACGAAATATAAGTTTTAATCATCAGAAAAGATTACAACAAATATGATTCATCTATATTAAAACTTGAAATGCTATGATTTTTATTGCTAAATAAGAAGTGTACTACATCAGTTCAACTAATAATCTTCTAAGATAGATTAATTGTGTCCAACAGAAGATGCGTTAGAGTTGATACCGATCTGGTGCTGTTTGAATGAATTCATCTGAGATTTCTCGAATTGGCAAGTCATGAAGGCCATCAACAGTTGATTGTGAAATGGGGAAACCCCAGAATTTGAACAATGGAACCAAATTAAAGCCTACTTGATGCGAGAAGGTTGTGATCCAGTGATCTATCTTCTCTTGATCACTTGTCAAATTCGGTTTAGTTTCTTCATATTGACGAAAAACAGCCTTATAGCTATTCCAACCAAACTCTCGTGCTAATTGTGCGTAGATAAACAAGCTAACACCGGCAGTTGCTTTCCATTCATCGAAAGGCTTTCCTTTCTTTATACTCTCTTTTGCTTTATCTATTTTATCTTCGAGCCAAGAATGAATCCATGGCTGAATCTTACAAATAACATCCATGGCGTGTAAAGAGAAAATATTCACGGTGACTTCAACCGCAAAACTGAAAGCTAAATAAAATCTTTTTTTTTCAAATATTTAAGTGCATGCATGTAACACTTACTCCACCAGTCGCGCTGCATATTATGACCAATTTCGTGGAAAACACCCCAAAAGCCTTTCTTTTCTAAAATATCACTATTCAGTAAGAAATATTCAGATTTTGGGTCAGTTATATCCAAATGAGTGACAATCGGATAGCCAGCATCTAAAGTGAATTGATATTTTTTAGCAATCAGGAAGCTCATATAAGAATCAAGTTATTCTTACGCATGTAGCCAGTTACTGGTTGTTCATCGCATACGATGCGTTCTCGACGTACCGGTGTAGTACCTCTCAAGTCATGGTGAGTCAGTACTACAGTATCCCAAAAACGAAGAGCTCGATCTAATTGAGCACTGTTTAAATCACGTACACTTTGCGAAGGCAGATTGAAAACAATATATTGACCAGCTATGTCTGCCCATATGCCCTGTGCGCGAACACGTAGATCGTCCCAATGTTTATCTCGATTGGGATCCATAATATCGTAGGCAGGTGTTAGAACAACATTCTTTATGCTAACACTAATGGAATTCAATTCAACAGCAGGACTCTCAAGAAAGAGAAGACCACCAAAAGCCGAACTCATTTCGACTGTAGTAACAGACAGCAGTTTGCACATAGAAATACATGGCCATCGGCGTAATTGATCGCAATTCTAATTAATTACGAATACATGCTGATATGACGAACTGTTTTGTATGAATACATACTCCGAGATCATCGCTGTGACAACCAATTCGGGCGGACCATCCAGTTGCACCAACTGGTTCGGAAACGTCAATTTGTATGGTAGTACCCGGAGCCACATAGTACCCTAAAAGAAAGATAACGCCCTTGATATCGTGTCAAAATCTGTGGATAAAGAAGGACTTTGTAATCATTGTATCCCTTCATGATTTAAGTATCTTCAAACATACCTGTACAATACCATTCGTTGACTGCCTTGGACTGAATATTGACCGTGACATCTGTTTCAATCGACAGTGGATTATCAAAATCACCCGGAAATTCATTTATACCTAAGATTAACATAGACATTACAGTGTTTCGTTAAATGTGGTCATGCTCACCAGGAGCTTTTGTATCAGATAATCCACACAAAATACCGCACAGACCGATCGACCGCTGTCGACATGATTTATTTTTAATCGGAGATGTTTTTGTTGGGATAACATCGCTTCCAGCATTCAGAACCATATTTTGTAGAGTTTCAATCGATAAATCAGGCAACGTATTGCCTAGTTCCTTAATTGCCGATCCGACGATAGCTAAATATTCGGCATTATTCGGTTCGCTCGCCAGTGCCTGAACAACATTATAAACATTTTTATATTTGACCAATTCAGGTTTAAATGGAATCGGATCGTCACAACCAGCCAAATTACCGGTCACTTTGACACCAATAGAATCACAAAAACGACCAGTTATGAAATCCGAAAGAGATTTGCCACTATTGAAGTATAGCCAACTCCAGGCACCTGCTCCACAAATCAGAGCTCCACCTTCTTTTAAAAATGCACTCTAGTAATACGAAAATATTTAACATATACTTAATGGAAAGAAAAACATGATACTATTTACCAAATCGTTCATGAATGTGTCGCTTTTAAAGTGATGCCCATTCCAAAGAAGAATTGTTCCTTTTTCTTTGACACTGTCCATCGACTCTATATCATCAATCGATTCAAATTGTGCTTCTTTTCCTTGAGACAACCATCGACGACAATTTTCAATGAAACGTTGATCTTGAGGGTCGTTAGCAAGAAAAAAATCAGAATAACGTTTATTTCCAAATATCAAGCATCGACCATTGCCAACTCGAGCGGCGACAACGGCAACTTTTGTAGAGTCAGCACCACATACTACAGCGCGTGTATCGTTCGTCACCGGAATGAGAGCTTCAACAAAACGGATGTACTTGACAGATGGAACATCTTGAAATAAAATTTGAGGTACTTGATCGAATTCATCGTCGTTCATCTGCTTGTTTCGTTGTTACCTAATCGAGAAATAATAATGTACATTCAATCCATCAGTAATGTAATGTGATCATGTGCTTACCTTCGTAAGTAGTATCGATTAGAATGATTCGAATAAAAACAAGAGAAAGAACACAATTACATCTGTATATATATATACGATCTTGCAAAACGTATCGAGTATGATTGTCAATGCAGCCTTATATTTGTATAATCATACTAATTTGTTTTTTTGTGTTTTATTCTGGCAAAATATATAAATAGGACATAGTATAATGAATGTAAAGAAGATGAAAGTCACACTATATAGAAAGTGTATAAACTAAGAAATCCATTCAGTTATCGATATTTCACGTATTGACTTCTGTCATTTTTTTCAAGCAATGGATTGAATAGCGACACATCGAAACGAGACTCTAATAAGACTCATGAGAAAACATAATTGAGTGTATCTTCTACAAAGATGTTTAAAAATATTCTATACTATTGTGGGGCTTGATAAATATCACCAATACCAATATCTTAGCTGCTCTCGTTTAGTTTTACAAAAACAAGAGAATCAAACTTGTTCATTTTAAGCATAGTACTACTATGAAACATGTCATTTTCACTTTCATAAGAATTGAATGGATAATTCAAATTCTCATAAAAAAATCTGACCTAGTATCAATCTTGACAGTTATTCGTTAAAGGGAGTGAATGCCATTTCCGACCAATATCTATAGATGAGATGGTGAACACAGGAAATACATGTCTTAAGAAAACGCTGTCGTATTCCTGCTTTCATTTCCGTGATATTTTGAAAAGAGAACGTCAAGAAAAGTATGAGGAAAAGTTGAAAGAAGAACATAGTTTTATCGTTGATGTATCCGTTTCGAACACGTATTTTCATAGATCAGTATAAACAAATTTTAAAGATAAATTGTACGTATAGTATATGCCTTGCTGTCGACTTTGGATTTTAATTGAAAACGGAGTAACGTTTTCCTAATTTTCTCATCAAAAAATGATTCAAGTGTGACAATAGAAGCGTTGCTAGTACAGCGAATACTTTGTTGACTTCTCGAAAATGAACATGAATTTTCATTATAAGCTTTTTAATTATAGGGATATGCTGACGTCGAACCATTGATTAAATTTGATTGGCAAAAAAATATTCTTTTTTGTACAATGACTAGGTAAATTATTTTTCAACGATGAATATTACTTCTTAACGACTTTTCATAATGGGGATACCCTGGCACTGAATCATTGATTACATTTGATTGAAAAAAAATATTTTTTTGGGACAATGAGCTGGTAATTTTTTCTCTACAATGAGGATTACTTGTTTATTATATTTTAATGATCGGGATACGCTGATATTTAATGTTTCGGTATATTTGATTGATAAAAAAGTATATTTTTTTGTACAATGAACAGGTAATTTTGTTTCTTTACAATGAGTATTACTTGTAAACGAGTTTTTGATGATAAGAATATGTTGATACTGATTCATTGGTTAGATTTGATTGAAGAAAAACATTGTTTTTTATGTGCAATGGGCAGGAATATTTTTTCTCTATCATGAGTATTACTTGTTTATTACTTTTTAATAATAGAGCTATGCTGCCATTGAAAGATTGATAAACTTTAGAGCGAATTTTTTTTATGGTGTTTATTTGTAGACGAGCAAGGATGCATAGCACCACATGTTTGTTTCATAATTGTGATATCAGCATGCAATAATTTATTGTATTGACTATTTAGATTGAAGACTAAATTTGTTGTTTAAATACTATCATCGGTTGTATATGATGCATAATTATTCTCGTTGAATTTTCAATTGAACTTTTCGATACAGCATTAAAAAAACCTCGGGAAAAGATTAAAATATTTTCATTTACGAAGCTTTATGTGACTTGATTTTGTGAACTCTTGGTAAAATCAATCACTTCATTTGGTTTTGAAAGCTGTATTCATATCATTAATTTTTTTCTAAGAGACTCTATTTTCTATTTTGTCGCGCATTGTAATCTAGGAATATGCAGTGTCAGTGTAACTGTTGAAATACTGACATCGATGTTCATTGCCACACAGAGGCACTGATTCCGGCAAAATATGCATCTTTGTCAATTTTATCGATAATCATAAACCAAAAGTAGTGAAGTGGGCAATCCCTATCGTCATCAAAAATATCATAAATTTGAATAATCTATAGTTTTGAATAATAAGACCAACTTCATAGAATTATATCACTTCTCAGTCTACTTCTAATACACGCATACTATCTTCCAATCATAAACTTATTTTCTTTCGTCATTTTGACGTGTTATGGATAACGGTTCTTGCTGCCGGAAACGTTCAAGTGTGATGCAAAGGTACTCTGTAAAAAAAACTGTTTCCTGGGAAACCCTTTAAAGGTTTCCTAGCAAGGGTTTCCGAGGTCTCACAAACTTCGAAAAATTGATTATAGCAATTTCTTGGTTGCTGATTTCAGAAGCAGATAAAAGGTTTCTGAGCTCACAAAAACCGGAAGATAATATGGAATCTGAAATTACTAGAGCGACAAGATGGATTTTGACACCCGACCGTATGTCACAGAGTCAATAAGACAAAAGATATTGTTAGTTTTCAATTGTTAAACTGCAAGTTACGATTTTGATCATATCCATTTGAGCCTAAAACATAACAAAAGAGATAATGAACTACAACATAGTCAATTATCTTTTTAAGTCAATCGTCTCTTAAATGATTTTATCATAGACAAAATCCATTCATTTGTTGAACACTTTGATAGAACTGCACTGAAAGTCAATTTTGATGAGCAATGTTAGGATCCATTTCTTTACGAACATCTTCATCAACATCTTTTCATATATCAACAGCAACAGAAAAAAGTAAAACTCATGTGGAGTCAATAAACTTTGAAGTATCAATGTAAACGTCCAGTAAATTATTATTTGCACAGCAAACCAAAGACTCATGCAGTTATTCAATCAAACATTTACTGCGTACAAAACCGAACGATGTTTATGCCACATTTCGAAAAAAACAATAATTAAAGCTTTCCAAGGACAATATCTATCTATTTGTGATCATTGATTACAACACTTTCGTCTGTCTGTACTTAACTCTCATTTTTCTTTTTGTCAGAAACTTTCCTTTTATCTGTTGTTTAAGCAATCCTTTGCCTTACAAACTAAAATATCAAATTCATAGATAATTGGTATGCAATATCACGATCAAAACTACACAACAAAAACAAGCGCGTTTGTAGAGAAACGGCGTATTTTCTATTTACACATCCACTTATAACAGAAATCTTTGAAATTATTGTATAAAATAATCTTCCTAGATAGATATAGTCGCATATGATTTCTTCCTAGTTTCTAAAGAATACAAAGTAATCATATATTGTTAAGTCTATTAGTTCAAAGACTCGATATGCTATAGTATAACAATAAAGATTATGATGTCATGTCTTTTGAAGAAAACCTACTTGATGATGCTCTGATAAAACAGAAATAAACACGTTATTCGTGAAACAGTCCATTTTCTATTCATATAGTCACAGCCACATCTATACCCACACTTCCCAGATATCTTTTCTCTGGCTACTGAAACAAAAAAATATTGATTAAATAACTCAAGCTATCGCCTGCCCTCTACATTTCTCTTTGTCTTTCTTGCTGTTCGAGATGAACGAGTAAAAAACGGTAATAATCTGGTGAAGAATGCGTTTCCATACGTTTGTCTGCTAGCACTATGTTCTCTAACCGCCCACTTTAACCTTATAGAAACAACGAAATAAACTAGCAGCGAAGGATGCAAGTCCAGAAGCTCCATCACAATGTCATCATGCTCATTGAATAGCAGCGCCTTTATCTACGAATATAAGTGTTAGGATTTTTTGACAAAACACAAAATAAGTACTCAAAACTATTATATAGAAGTATAAATCTCGATGCCTTTCTTTCAAATTGTAATCGATCTATGTAAAACAAAAACAACAATTGTTTATTTCATCAGCGAAGAAAAAGATGTCGATTATTCACTTGCCTTTTTTTTTACTATTTTTCAGCTCTCTTCCGTACAAGGTGTGGGTATAGGTATAAAGGTTACTGAAGAGAAGACTCATACCTACACGCACACACAACTACTCACGTTCACACTCTCAAATTGTGAATGAAAAATAATTGATTTTAAAAACTAAGGAAAATAAACTAGAATACACATAAGAAGTTCATAGTCGTACTCTTTAGTTAAAAAAAATAATATGAGTTTCTGATGTTTTTTCTCGTGTGTTCTTGTGTTGGAAGACGCAGTTTTCATGGACTTTCTCTTGGCGTCATCAAAATTCTGGTGAACCTTCAATTTTATATCTCACAATTGAAAATATTTGAAACAAATGTAAAAAAATTATTTATTTTTTGCATTAAAAAACACTTTATTAGCTCTAATGTTCCACATAATGATGTATGTGGAAGGTCGAAAGGCACATAGTCTGACAAAAGAAAAAAAAATTCTCTTTCTTTTGGCAAGAGTCATTGCTATGTTAATGCTCGAAATAATGGTGTCATTTTGTAGTGCATTAAAAAGTACGAAAAATGACTATTTTTCTTGTAACTGTCTAAGGAGCATTATCATAGTGTACTTCATAATTTAGCGAGACATTGTCAACTCGAGCTCATATTTTGGATTTACTACTATCTCTGTGAGGTTTTTAGTTTAAGATAATTAAATCCAAAGTCAAAACTTTTTCCTCAACTAAATGTCTAGTTTTTTGTAGGTTTTCCAGTGAATCCTGTCTTAATAGTGCAATTTTTTAATAGGAGAATGAGTACTGGTATGACACGTTATACAAAATTAGCATTGTTTTGAATGATAATTTCTTATCAATTTTCGAACACATTCTACTTATCGTATGGATGAAAAAACCGCATAAAACACGTGAGATATTTAAACATTAATAGAAGTTATTGATTCAACAATATCGTTCTATGACCAGAAAATTTAACA